GGGGGGGACTTTTCGGTGGGATCCCGCGGGTCACTGCATGTCCCAGAAGGGACTTGATTACTGAACCAGCGCTTGCTTGGGCTCACATGAGCTATCAATTTTAAGGCCCGGTGGTGGGAAAGTGGTTTCTTTCTGTCACATTTATCTTCGGCAAATCCTCAGAAAATTTTAATTCTTATTGCCAGTTTTAGTTGTACAGAAGTTAAACAAAAAGTTTGTAAAACAAATACCACCACCGCACACGCAAATAAAAACAAACAAAAAAAGCCCAACTCCCACACTAATTGTCTTAATTAGTTTCCAATGGTTCTGGTCAAAATAGCTTTAAGTATTAACTGTGAAACCTTTAAATTTTTTTTCTTTTGTAATAATTATTTACCTCTGTGAAAAGATGTTCATGATACATTTAAGTACAGAAAACTGGTTAGAAAACTATCTGAATACTACAGGACTCCCTGAGACTTTCTGTTTTTAAAGGGATATTAAAAAGACCAATTATAACTGGCTGTGCTGCCACACATCTGTAATACCAGTTACTGGGGAGGCTGATATAATAGGAACACACGTTCAAGATCAGCTGAGGAACTGGTGTAGCTAGGTGGAGGTCTAAGGGTATATAGCTCTGTGGTAGAAAAATTCCCTAGCATGCTTGGGGCCCTGGCTTCAAACCTGAGTACCCTGCTGAAAAAAATAAATAAATAAAAGTGAATCAAAATTCTTTGAATTTAGACTGTCAAAAATTACTAAAATCAGTTGGGCAATGGTATACTCCCAGTGACTTGGGAGACTCACAGTTTTGAGGCCAGCCTCAGCAACCTAGCAAGATCTTGTCTCAAAATTAAAACTAAAAATGAGCATCTTTTACAATATAGAGGAAACTGAGCTATGAATAAACAAAATGTGGTATATATACATAACAGAATACCTCAGCCATCAAAAGAAATTTAACAACCTGGATGAACCTTAAAACCGTGAAAGCAACCAGCAACGAGACTACAGACTGTATGATTCCTTTTATATAAAATGTTTAGAAAGGAAAATGTATAGAGACAGAGAGTAAATTAATGGTTGCCATGATCTTAAGTATTTAGGGGTTGACAAGTGACTGCTAATGGGATTATATTTGAGTTGATGAAATGTTCTAGAATTAGGTCTTGGGGCTAGGGATGTATCAGTGGCACAGTGTTTGCCTAACATATGCCAGTTTAACCTCCAACATAGCAAGGGAAAAAAAGAGAATTAGATGATGGTAATGGGTACATAACTCTATGCATCCACTGAATTATATATATATATATATATATATTATATAAGTAAGATATATAATAAAATTCATAGAATATGTATACAATTCAGTGGTTTTAGTAGATGTGTAGAATTGCATATATATCACATTTATATATATATATGAATTTAAATATATATATATTTGGTTTGTGTGAATGTGTGTGTGTGCGCATTTGCACATGGTACTAAACACATGGAATTGAACTCAGGGGCACTCTATCAGTGAGCTACATCCCTAGCCCTTTTTATTTTTTATTCTGAGACAAGGTCTTGCTCAGTTGCTAAGGTTGGCCTCAAATGTGGGATCCTTCTGCTCAACCTCCTGTTGCTGGGATAACAGGCATATGCCACTGCTCCCAGCTGAGCGGCATACTTTTTTAAAAGGGTAAGTTTTATGACATATGAATTATTCCAATAAAGTTGCTATTAAAAGATAGTGAGCTGGATGCAGTGGTGTAAATGTACGATCCCAGCAGCTTGGGAGGCTGATGCAAGAGGATCACAGTTCAAAGCCAGCCTCAGCAACTTAGCAAGACCCTGTCTCAAATTTTAAAAAAAGAAAGAAAGAAAAAAAGGCCTGGGAATATGGATCAGTGGTTAAGTGCCCCTGGGTTCAATCTTGGTAACAAAAGGAAAAAAAAAAAAGACAATGAAGCTAATGTTTGCTGCACTTTACAGATATCAGCTACTATGCTGAGCATCTTTTATGTACATCTTCAATTACACCTCATGCAACCACTATCAGTTGGCTACTAACCTCATTTTCTAAATCTAAAACAAAAATTAAACTCAACTAGAATAAATGTACATGTGCACAAACTAAGGGGCAGAATGGGGATCCAAACCATGGTCTAAGTAACTTTAAAGCCCATACTCTTTTATTACATAGTATATAAATATGTAAAAGGCACAAAATTTACAAAGAAAGTTACAGAACCTCACATTTTATAAACACAGTTTACTTTTGAGGATTGAACCCTCATATTTATAGATTGAAAGACTACCCAATCTTCCAAACAGACAACAGACTCATTTTTAAAAGAATCATTTTATTAAAAATAGCAAATCTCACAAATACTTATTTAACATTTTTGTCACTGGCCATTGGAAAACACACCTGCGTGTGTACTGATTGTCTAGTGTAAACTGAAGCTGGGCTGCCACAAGAGGCCTGTGCACCATCAACTTACAATCAATACTGGAATAAGTTTGATGAGCTCAGGAAGATAAATCCCTTAGCCCTATCAAGAACATTTAGCACAAATGCATTTCAAGTATAACCCCATAAGGCAACAGTATCAAGCACAGGAGTACAACCTTTGCATTGCATTTCCTGATTAAGCCTTCATCAAGGCCTAGATCTCTAGTTACAGTGAATTACAGTGAGCACATTTACTAAAAGCAGTATGTGGATACAATCATTGCACTTGCACTTTAATTACTTGAATTCCTATTGTGGAAGATGATTCTGGATTCAGCTGTAAAATTAAAGAATGCCACTACTGGATTCAGCTGTAAAATTAAAGAATGCCGCTTCTCTGCAAATCCCAAGAAAGCAAAGTGCATTTCAGTTTAGCTGGTAGAAGTATTTGGAACATCTTGTGCATCCGCCAAATGGAGTTTTTGTCTGAATTCATCAGTTAAGAAGATTTTCATTCTATAGTATGTACTTCTTTTAAATTTCAGGAAATTATACTCAGGAGCTAAGTATTTAAAAAGAAGGAAAGAAAAGAAATATGTTTAAGGAAAAGCTGCTATGTTGCTATTGGGATCCTTGGATGTGGAAAGACAATTTTTAAATGCAGGAATTATACTCTGTCTATGCTTAGTCAATCACTACTAAAGATGATGTTCCAGATTCCAACAGAGCATTATTTTTTAATGCAGCAATAATCATTTTTATGATTTAGGAGCTAATTAGAGTCAAATATGATGACTTACTGGATTAAAATAAATATTTGAGAAGACATCTCTTTATCATCTTTAGGAAAACAACTTCTTTGTAAGAGTCCAAATTAAGATAATCACGTCTCTAAAATATATTCTATAATCCCGTTAATCATTCTTTGAAAAAGAATAATATATGCAGGAAATCTGCATATAGTATTTCCTGCATATATTATTATTTTCCTTTCTCATCATCACGTCTTATTTTCCTTTCTCCTATACTACTTGTTACCTATTTTCTAAGACCTAATTTAAACAATAATAAGGATACACTGAGGACAATGCTAGCAATATATGAATGGCAGAGGTTACAAAATGGATAGATGTAAGCCCAGCCATAAAGGCATTCTAGTTCAGCTGGAAGGATGAGCCTTAACATAAAACAACAACAACAAACAAACAAAAAAAACCAACAAACAATAAAATAAGGAAGAACGTTCAGTTAAGCTACATACAAAACACTTTATGGAAACCACAGGCTTGAGTGTAATTTGATAAGGAGGAGAAGGAAGCCAGAGCAACTCCAGGCAGGAAGTACAACCTTAACAAAGGCATGCAGAGAGAATGAATGAATATGGTATTATTAAGACATTCAAAGAACCAGCTTCACGGGGATGAAAAACGTGATGTATAGGCTGTGACTAGATTACTGAGAGTCTTTAAAAAGTTGGACATGGTTTTAAAAATTGACAAGAAGAAAGTAATGATTTAGGAAGATTAATTTATTAATAGTGCTATCTGAAGTCTAGAACAAAATTATTCAATAAAATTATACTGCAAGCAGGGCACCGGAGCTCATGCCTGTGATTCCAGGGACTCAGGAAACTGAGGGAGGAGGATCATAAGTTTGAGGCCAGTCTCCCCAATTTAGCAAGACCCTGTCTCAAAATTTAAAAAAATAACTAAGGTCTGGGAATGTAGCTCAGAGGTTAAGCACCCCTGGGTTCAATTCCTACCACCAAAACCAAAACCAAACAGAAAACAATTTTTAATTTTCTAGCTGTCATATTAAAAGGAAAAAGAATGAAATTGATTGTCATAATGTATATTTTACCTTAATATATGTTTAAAAAATCATTTCAATATGTAATCATTACACAAATTGAAATATTTTCCATTCTTTTATGACCAATCTTTGAAATCAGATGTGTCTATTACACTCATAACACACTGCAATTCAGCTACATTTCATGTGTTCAATAGCCATGTGGCTAGTAGCTACTATATCGAACAGTCAAGCTCTAGAGTAGGAACGGAAAATTCATAAGTTATGAAAACAGGTAATAAATAAATAAATTAGGTGACCTGTGTTATCATACAGAGAATGAAGAAGAATGAAAGCAGATTGATGATACCTGACAGTTGCAGTTAAGAGATGGCAAGTAGATTTCATGTCCATGTCCAAGCTCAATATGCAGAAAGTGCCATGACTGATTAATAATGTCAGCTATGGTTAGAGAAGGGATTTTGAAATATTCATGGAGACTGGAACAACAGATACAATGA